ATAGGACACTTAAGTTTGGATGGGGTGGTGAAAAAGGACAGGTAAATCTCTCAACGTGGGATATTGCCTAGAATTAGATTCTCAAAGGTCCAGCTCACTCACCCTCTCCTCCATGAAACTCTCTTCCCAGTCTCCCCAGACCATTCTCACAGGACATCTGCAACTGTCCTATACAAGTATGGCCTTGTAATGTCCCTTTGTCTCTTTCCAGTTGTAAAACCCTTGAGAATAGGAAATGTATCCTATTTTTTCTACCTCCTATAACACCTAGCAATGTGCTTTACACAGAGAACATGTTCAGTAAAGTGAGATGTTTAAATAAAGGGTAGGGAGCTAAGAAAGAATTTTCAGTGGAGACCCATCAGCAGGCAAGAGAAACAAGCCACAATAAAATAAAATTACAGGCCAATATCCCTGAAGAACATAGATACAAAAGCCCTCAGCAAAATATTAGCAAACTGAATTCAACAATACATTAAAAGGATGATACACCACGATCAGAATATCACATCCAAAAGCAACAGAATACACATTCTTCTCAAGTACCCATTGAACATTTTCCAGGATAGATCATATGTTAGGCCACAAAACAAGTCTTAATAAATTTAAGAGGATTAAAATCATATCAAGCATCTTTTCTGACCACAATGGCATGAAACCAAAAATTAATTACATGAAGAAAACTGGAAAATTCACAAATATGTGGAGATTAAACAAGATACTACTGAAAATCAATGGTTCAAAGAAGAAATCAAAAGATAAATAAAAAAAATACCTTAAGACAAGTGAAAATGGAAATACACTAACCAAAATGTGTGGAATGCAGCAAAAGCAGATTTAAAAGGAAAGTTCATAGTGATAAATGCCTACCTTAAGAAACAAGAAAAGTCTCATATAAACAACCTACCTTTACACCTCAAGGAACTAGAAAAAGAAGAACAAGCAAAGCCCAAAGTTAGTAGAAGGAAGGAAATAACAAAGATTAGAGCAGAAACAAATGAAATAGAGACTAAAAAGACAATAGAGAAGATCAATGAAACTAAGAGCTGGTTCTTTGAATTGATAAACAAAATTGACAAGCATTCAGTTAGACTCATCAATAACAAAAGAGATAAGACTCAAATAAATAAAATCAGAAACAAAAGAAGAGACGTGACAACAGATACCACAGAAATATGAAGGATCATAAGAGATCACTATGAACAATTATATGCCAATAAATTGGACAACCTGTAAGAGATAGATAAATTCCTAGAAACATACAGTCAACCAAGACTAAATCTTGATAAACTAGAAAATCTAAACAGACCAATTACTAGTAAGGAGACTGAATCAGTCATTGAAAACCTCCCAACAACAAAAGTCCAGCACCAGACAGCTTCACTAGTGAATTCTACCAAACATTCAAAGAAGAATTAATACAAATCCTCAAACTCTTCCAAAAAATAGAAGAGGAGGGAACTCTTCCAAACTCATTTTACAAGGCCAGCATTACCCTGATACCAAAACCAGGCAAGAATGTCACAAGAAAAGAAAATTGCATGCCAATATGCCTGATGAACATAGCTGCAAAAATCCTCAACAAAATATTAGCAAACTGAATTCCACGATACATTAAAAGGATCACTCACCATGATCAAGTGGGATTTATTCCAGGGATGCAAGGATGGTTCAATATCCACAAACCAGTCAATGTGATACACCATATTAACAAAATGAAAATAAAGATCATATGATCACCTCAATAGATGCAAAAAAGCATTTGACAAAATTCAATATCCATTTACAATAAAAACTCTCAAAAAATGGGTATAGAGGGAATGTACCTCAACCTCATAAAGGCTGTATATGACAAGCCCATAGCTACCATCATACTCAATGATCAAAGGTTGAAAGCTTTTCCTCTAAGATCAGGACTGAGACAAGGATGCCCACTCTAACCACTTTTATTCAACATAGTACTAGAAGTTCTAGCCAGATTAATTAGGCAAGAAAAAGAAATAAAATGCATTCAAATTGGAAAGGAAGAAGTAAAACTGTCACTATTTGCCGATGACATAATGCGATATATAGAAAAGTCTAAAAGATGCCTTAAAGAAACTGTTAGAATTAATAAATGAATTCAGTAAAGTTGCAAGACACAAAATCAATATGCAAAAATCAGTTGTGTTTCTATACACTGATAATGAACTATCAAAAAGAGAAAGAAAACAATCCCATTTACAATTGCATCAAAAAGAATAAAATAGGGGCTGGCCCCATGGCTTAGCGGTTAAGTGCACTCACTCCGTTACTGGCAGCCTGGGTTCGGATCCTGGGCGAGCTCCGACACACCGCTTCTCCGGCCATGCTGAGGCCACGTCCCACATACAGCAACTAGAAGGATGTGCAACTATGACATACAACTATCTACTGGGGCTTTGGGGAGAAAAAGAGAAAAAAAGGAGGAGGATTGGCAACAGATGTTAGCTTAGGGCTGGTCTTCCTCAGCAAAAAGAGAAGGATTGGCAGGGATGTTAGCTCAGAGCTGATCTTCCTCACTTAAAAAAAAAAAAAAATGTGAGGGATTATAATTTAAAAAAAAAAAAAAGAATAAAATACCCAGGAATGAATTTAACCAAGGAGGTGAAAGACTTGTACACTGAAAACTACAAGACATTATTGAAAGAAATTAAAGACACAAATAAATGGAAAGATATTCCATGCTCATGGATTGGGAGAATCAACATTTTTAAAACGTCCATACTACTCAAAGCCATCTACAGATTCAATGCAATCTCTATCAAAATTCCAATGGCATTTTTCAAAGAAATAGAACAAATAATCCTAAAATTTTGTATGAAACAATGAAAAGTCCCTAATAGCCAAAGCTTCTATGTTGAGAAAGAAGAACAAAGCTGGAGGCATCAAGCTCCCTGATTTCAAACCATATCACAAAGCTATAGTAATCAAAACAGTATGGTACTGGCATAAAAAGAGAGACATAGATTAATGGAAGAGAATGGACAGCCCAGCATATATGGTCCATTTATTTACGACAAAGGAGCCAAGAATATACAGTGGGGAAAGGACAGTCTCTTCAATGAATGGTGTTGAGAAAACTGGACAGCCACATGCAAAAGAATGAAGCTCGACTACTATCTTACACCATACACAAAAATTAACTCAAAATGGATTAAAGATTTGAAGGTAAGACCTGAAACCATAAAATACTTAGAAGAAAACATAGGCGGTCAGCTCCTTGGCGTAGGTCTTGGTGATGATTTTTTTGCATCTGACACCAAAAGCAACAACAATGAAAGCAAAATCAAGAAGGTGGGACTACATTAAACTGAAAAAGCACAGCAAAGGAAACCATCAACAAAACGAAAAGGCAACCCACTGAATAGAAGTTGCCTGGAACGGAAATATTTGCAAATCACACATCTGATAAGGGGCTAATATGGGAATAGCTCATTCTATTGCACTTTGCTTTATTGCCTTTCACAGATATGCGTTTTTTACAAGACCCTCTACCAGCAAAAAGATTACGACTTGCTGAGGCTCAGATGATTTTTAGAATTTTTTAGCAATAAAGTATTTTTAAATTAAGGTATGCATACTGTTTTTTTAGACATAATGCTATTGCACACTCAGTAGATTACAGTATAGTGTAAACATGACTTTTATATGCATTGGGAAACCAAAAAATTTGTGTGACTTGCTTTATTATGATATTCACTTTATTGAGGTGGTCTGGGACTGAACCCACAATATCTCCAAGGTATGCCTGTATCCAAAATATTTAAGAACTCATACAACAACTCAATAGCAAAAAAAAAAAAAAAACACCAATCCAATTAAAAAATGGGCAGAATATCTGAATATACATTTTTCCAAAGAAGACATACAGTTGGCCAACAGGTACATGAAAAGACGCTCAACATCATTAATCACCAGGGAAATGAAATCAAAACCACAATGAGATATCACCTCTCACTCGTCAGAATGGTTATTATCAAAAAGACAATCAACAAGTGTTGCTGAGGATGTGGAGAAAAGGGAACTCTCATACACTGTTGGTGGGAATACAAATTGGTGCAGCCACTATTGAAAACAGTATGGAGGTTCCTCAAAAAATTAAAAATAGAGCTACCGTATGATCCAGCAATTCCTCTTTGGGGTATTTATCCAAAGAAAATGAAAAAACTAACTTGTGAAGATATATGTACTCCCATGTTCACTGCAGTATTATTTACAATAGCCAATATATGGTAACAACCTAAGTGTCCATTAATGGATGAATGGATAAAGAAATTATGATATATATATATCACATAATATATATATTATATATATATATAATTCAACTATAAAAAAGAATGAAATCTTGCCATTTGCAACATGGATGGACCTCAAGGGCATTATGCTAAGTGAAATGTCAGACAGAGAAAGAAAAATACCATATGATCTCTCTTATATGTGGAATCCAAAAAACAACCAAGCTCATAGATACAGAGAACAGATTGGTGGTTGCCAGAGGCAGGGGTTGGGGAGTGGAAGAAATGGGTAAAAGAGGTATAAATTTATTTAAAAATTAAATAATAAATAAATAAGTATACGGTAGGGAGCTAAGAGAGGATCTTCAGTGGGGACTCATTGGCAGACAAGAGAAACAAGGTTCATCAAGGATTTGGGGAAGAGAGTGCTAAGGAAGGCTGGGACACAACACAAAAATAAACTTTCTTGCTCCACAGTTTTGTTTACAGATTACAAGTACAAAGATTTGGGTTTCCAGATCTTTTCAAATTTTAGACCAGCTTTCCAGTAGGAACTCAAAAGCAGACTTGAATGCTGATGTAGTCTTCCTTATGTCGGTGATCAGCATTTAAATACAGCCCTTGATGGCCTTTAAGAGAAATGTGCCTTTGTATGAGGCATAGGAAAATGAGATGGATGTATTTTTAAGTCACTTTTGGACAAATTTGCTTTCATCCCGACAGTGGTGGGAGGTCTCTTACCCATTCTCCTTTATCCCCTTTCTGACCAGGTGAGCCTGGAGCTCCCCGTAATCCTACTTCTCCCTGAGCAAAAATGAATTTCTGTGTTATCAAACATTCTATCACATTGAGCTAAAGACAAGTAGTTTATAAACATGAAACTGATAACAGTAAGATGAAGTTTTGCTCTCCTCTAAGCTGATGCTGGTCCCTCCGCTGGAATGCCCTTCTTCTCTCGTTCATGAGACTCCTACCCTCCCTCTTCCAAATGCCATTTGCATCGTCTCCTCCATCAGACCTTCCACGGCCTGAGACACGACATGTGCTGCTCTTCTATGGCCCCCTGCACCTTGTACTTCACCTTCTCATGAAGCTTACTGTACGGTATTGGTTGCCAGAGGAAACGTAAGGTTCCTCTAAACTTTCACCTCACCTCCATCTCCCCTCCTCCAGCCAGGAGTCAAGTGGTCTCAGGATGCGTTAAGTCTAAGGGCATGCAATAAGTCACAGTGCTAGGGGACGTACTGCTCTAATCAGGGCAAGCTTTCCTTCCTCTTCCCTTTCCTCAGGTTTGGACACAGAGGAAGGCCACCAAGAGGTCACTCAGGCTACTCTTAGCACAGGCCTCATGACTGCACATCCACAAAAGCAGTTCACGTGGGTCCTGGGCCCGGCCTCCCTCACCAGGGCACCATACTGGTGCAAGTGGAACAAATTTTTTAACAGTAACAGAGGCCCTCTGCATATCCCCATACGGCTCAGGGTGGCAGGAGATGGAGGGCTGGATATGCAGGGACACTGGATACACAGTCCTCCCACAAAGAAATACTATGTAGAGTATCTTTCGGTACGTGTTGAAGAGCAGGCACCGTGTTCCTTCACCTGCGAATTCCCAGAACCGAAGCCCATTCCTGGCACATGTTGAGTACTCAGTACTCGTCCGTGGTACAGGTGCTTCCTCCCTTCACCTTCCTATTCATTGTAATGCCCACCCTGGAAAGAAGGCCAGATGGCCTCAGCACTATCCAGAGAAAAATCCAGGAGATCCTATCTCCAGTTCCCTTCTCTTAACCCACTCCAGTGACTGAGTGGCTCATGCATTAGATTCAACTAGCACTAAAGAGTAAGATACATTCCGTGCGCCAGAGCCACAGTCAAGGTGGAGGGGCTTTTCAGTGAGCATAGATGAAAACCAGCATACCTTGTTTGGAACGCACTGGCACTGGTCTGGAAGTTCCTGCTTTGCTGGCAGATATGCAGACATTTTACTGGCATGCGCGGGTACCAATGACGATGTGGTACTTCCAAAGCCTTCCTGCTCTGGACACTAAAATCCGAAAAGATGCTTTAGGAAATGGCGTCAATTCCAAACATTCTGACGTTCCACACACTGGCTCCCACCAAACTAGGGACGACTGGGGTTACCTGCAAGAACTGCCTTCTAACTAACCAAAAGTCGACATGAGTATGTGAAAGTTTATAACGCCTTTGTTCGTTCACTAGGCCCCCCATGTGTTTTATTACACTGACAACACACTAGAAATGCATGAAGTGTTGGTTTTGATGAGAAATTCTAAAGCTATTATAGGTGACTTTATGACAAGTATAGTAATATCAAACATTTACAATAATTGCATTGTTACCATAAAATAATTTATACAAATGACATCCGTATATGTGTTTGGGAATGAACTTTAAAATAAAAGAACGTAATTTGAACTTATAAAACACTGTTTACTTCAAAAAAATGATTGTAAAGACATGTAAAAGTAGAAAATAAATTCTTTTAAACTCCAAGATGGTATATATCTAATTAATGTATATCTTATTTCAGTCCATTGTCCTTTAAAGTTATTAAAAAGTCTCCACTGTAACAGATAAGTGGTGAATTTTGTATTTATCCAGTGGGTTCAGAACATGTGCACAACACGCAGTGAAATTTGGTTACAAAGTAATAAACTGTTTTTCTCTCAAAAAGAAAATCCAGATGGCGAGACTAAAGAGGATAAATGCATCATTCCCTCCCAACATCATTTACCAGGCTCCTCACCACGGTTTGTATCTCTGAATATGCAGTTTGGGGGAAAGGGTTCACCCATTACTTTGTAAACTACAAATATATATGCAGGGAAGGATATCGTCAGGATACAAAACTAAAAGATTGCCAGTGGTTATTTATGGTGGTGAGATCATGGTTGATATTTAGTTCCTTCTTTGAATTGGGCTGTATTTTCCAAGTTTTCTATAATAAATATACACAAATTTTAAAACAAAAAAACTTGAGAACATCAAAACTGCAAGAAAAGTAGCCCCAGAAACACTGACTGGTTTCCTGTCCTCACCACGAGTTCTTTCACATTGCCTCTCTCCAGATTTAATGGATCAGCTATTTAGTTACCTTAATACATTTCCAAGGCCACAAGTCTAAAACTCACATTAGAATAAAACACGATTATCAAAAAACATTTATCTTATATGATTGTGTGATTTTCCAGCCAGTTCCTGCCCATGGGTTTCCAGTCAGATAACGAAGCCCTGCTTAGAGTTCACACTTTTGCTCTGGATAATTGATTCACTATATTAAATTGGGGAGTTAAATGACTTTAAAAGTATGTCTCAGGCTTCACTGTGAAACTGTCCACACTCTCCAAAAAGTGCCTAAAGGAAACATAAAATGTACAAGTATGGACTCCTCCCCTCACACAACCTCTGGTTTTGATTTGGCACATATTCAGTTAATTGGTGCTCAAAATTTTAATCATATTTCTTATTCATTTTCAACAAATGTTGCTGATTTTCTCCTTCTCTTCATATTTATTCTTCATTCTATGTCTGTAGTCATGAAACAACTGCTTCAGAAACAGAAAATCTAATTAATAGAAGCATGCATATAGATTATCTCGAATAAATTTCACCTTTGAAATACACTATAAAATATTAATAACAAAAAACATATCTGCTCTGAAATTCTAGGAAAAAAATTAGATTTTTAAGCAAGTACATTAAAATTTTCTGAATTCAACACATTTTTCAAGGAAAAAAAAACAGTTGGTGTCAGAATTATAGCAGATGCACTTAAATGGCTTTTGTATAATCATTTATCTTCCAAACTATACATTCCCACTTGTAAAACACAGCATGTTTCTATTTTCTGTTGATCTTTAACAGAATGGTGATGTCCCTCCAAATAATTATCAGCAGGAAAATAAACAGTCTTTCCCTGTTTTTTTCCATAGTTGGAGAAGAATTCCTACCTTATTTTCTCCTCTTTAAAACTAACTCCTAAATAATCTTTCTAAAACATGATTAAAATTTTTTTCCATAATTTGTGAGGTTATGTCACTGCTTTTAACTATCAAACCACTCTATCAAATCCACCACTTATACTTCCTTAAACAGTTTTCTCATAATTCAAGTTGAAAATGTCTATTATGTGATGACACAGAGTAGTGACTATTGGTTAAGAATATAACATTTAAATATATTAAAACAACATCATGTTACTTTTCAATCAGGGAAAATTATTATTTTAAGAGCTCTTACACCAAAAAAGCATAATTAATTAAAAAAATTTTTTTGGAGCATTAACATCTTCAAGATTTAAATGTGTGGCTCCGGGAAGTCTAGGTATTTCAAGTCTGTAGACTGGCATTCTAAGTTATCTTTCTAGATATTTATAGAAAGATATTTGGCTGACTTTCATTTTACTTGGAATGAGAGCCATAAACTTGGTTGGAGATATGCTTTATGAAACCAAGTTACATAAGCAAATCATATAAATTTGAAAGACTCAGCCATGCTTTGAGTCAGCTGGTCACTTTATTATTCTATTTCCCATAGTGAGTGATAGAAGTTAAAAATATTTTTGAATTACTAAACTATTGATAAAATTTTCATATAGTTTTCTATGTTAAGCGTAGAACTTCTGGGAAACCTAAGATACAAAGAAAAACATTTTCACCTTTTACTTTTACTTTTCATTTGTTCTATCTGTAAGACTTTTTAGAATTAGTCCCTTTCAAACACCTTTTGTCCCATCTTTCTCCTTCAGCAGTTGATAGGCCAACAAGTCAAGAAACAACATTTGACTGTTGTTCTACAAACAAAGCGCTAGGAATAAAAAAGAAGAGTATAAAAGTATAACTCCCCTCAATGAATTTAAAATGTAGTTGAATAAAACAAAAACAAATGCAACTATATCTAATACATAAGATGCCACACATGACCATCACAATGAGAGAGATAAATTTCCGAAATCAGTACTTTTTTCTGAAGGGAAGATTGGTACAAGAAAGTATGAGTTGTACAGTTAGGTTGGGAACAGTAAGAAAGACAGGCCAAGAACCTGGATTTACAGTTGGTTGTCAACAGAGAGTGACCAATGGCTTTGAGATAGAGATGAATAGAGGGCAGGGAACGTGCCTTATTGGTGTCTGTTAGCCTTCTTCCTTAGCACCACGTCTACAAGATCAATGTTGAACAGTAAATGTTTAGTGGAAGAAAGTAAATGAATACAGAAAGCAGGGACTCAGAGACTTATTCTGGTCATGCTGGAAAGAAAAAGAGCTGGTGACAGAGAAGGTAGTTGACACAATAACACCACAATCTGGGCATGAACAGTAAAGGTGAGCCACGGCAATAACAGAGACAAGGAAGATGCAGATGAAAAATCTATCACCAAGGAAAACTATCCGGGATGGGTGATGGGCTAGAAGAGGGAAGTGAGGGAGCATGAGGTCTGATCACAGGTTGAAAACCCCTGTAATTGGAAAATGATGGTGCTACTGTCAGAACCTAGCTTAGGAAGAAGGCATAAATTCTCTTGGACTTATGCTGAGTCCAAGTGAGGACATATAATTCCCAAAGTTCAGGAAGAAACATGGGGATTAAAATTGTGAAAAGAATCTATGGGAGAGCACCAAGAGGGTCTCTTACTTGGGACAAATTACTCTCCTGGCTTCCACAGAAGATGCTCAGTGCTGCCCTACCTCGGGGATCTACAGACCAGGCAACTGACAGGTAACTGGTGTCTACACTCTTCACGTGCCAAGAAAACCAACTTACCTTAGTAGCTGATATTTCACAACAGGTGTCTTGAGCTATGAAGTCTGAGTTACAGTAGATTTTAAGTTGGTGAAGTTCAATCTATTAAAAGATTAGTAATAAGACACATCATTAGTTTTTCTGAGAATCACATTGAGGCACTTAAGAACTACGGTAATTTCACTGGAAAGAAAAAAGAAGCTAATACAAATAAATTACTGGTAGATACTTTTAATGTATTTTTTTAAATTTAGGACTCATGATTTTATGAACCATTTGAGAAATAGACTCAGTTATTGAGATAGATTGACAAATAAAGAAAATCAGGTAATGGAAGCAATGGCAAACCTGGGCTAGTTATTTCAAACAATAAAAAAGAGGTATTTAATTAAAGAGAGGCACAGTTATGCACTATGATAAAGTATGCTGATAAAATGAGGAATATTTCAAAGTAAAAAACTATGGAGAAAAAGTGAAGCAAAGGTCTGAGCACACGATGGGAAGGCTTTATCCATAGCTGCAGACCTCCTGTTTGAGGCACTGGGACAGATGCTCACTTCCCAAGAAGAAAAAAAAAAAACAGTATTTAATTTTTATCTTTTTCATGGATTCTGTCTAATACCTGTGGATTTTATATTATATTGGCATAATCCTGAGCAAGACTCACAATCTTTTTACAAAAACGATTGATTCCTTCTATTTGCTCAGCAGACTCACATTTTTTTGGCATTTGGACACGAAATTAAAAGTAGTTCAACGAAAGTGCAATCATGCCTTTACATGCAAGATCAGTCACCACATAAGAGAAAGAAAATAGTACAGACTATTGAGAAAATTTCAATATGATAGATGCGTAAAGAGGTTATTTTAAATTAGGCAAATTTAATAATTAATCGTATGATGATACGACATATAACATAGATCAGAAACAATCTCTTCCTTCCCCACTTCTCCTCCCCACCTTTCTCTCTCTCCCTCTCTTTCTGCCTCTCCCCACCTCTTTCTCTGTCTCCCAATGTAACAGAGCTAGATTAAGCATTACTTTGAGGTCAGTAAGTACTTTCTACAGAAAGACTTGACAGTGATATCATAATAATTAATCCTACAGTAATAGAAAACAGATATCTGCTTTAGTTCTGAATCCCTACCCCAACACCAAAAGAGCAAAAAAGAAGAAAAAAGCTGTAACTATTAGTTACACTGAGATGAACAAAATCAATTCAGCCCACAGAAAGCATTAAGAACTCCAGACGTTGTGTAGATTCATGAGCAGCCTAAGATTTACAGCCGATGCAAGATTCTGAGATGAAATGAAACTTAACAATTTCTTTTCTATAACTCTTTGAAAGGTTATTGAAGTTAACTTTTGCTTAGAAAGTTTAAATACACTGTCTTACATAGTCTAGTGAAACACCAGACAGTAACATACCCATTATGTAAAATGAAGAATGGGGACTCCAAATAATTAATATTCTTAACTAAAACTTATTTATCATCATCATTGTTATCAAAACAGCCAATAAATACTGAAATTCTATTATGTACCATCCACTGTGCTAGGGCCTTCATATGAATTATCTTACTTAACTGAAGACAGATGATCAATTTTTAACGAAGTAGAACCTAATCAAGTACCCATGACATTGACACTACCATCAGCCTAGTTTAATGACGCTTTCGTTACTCATCAGTTACTTCAGAATCCTTCACTGAGACAATGCTTTAGAAGGAGAATGTTTAGGGAGAAATCTTTACTGACCCTTGTCACACAGGATTTGTTTGTTAAAAAAAATCCTTTATATCAGTTTTGTCACCTATCTCTTTCTCACAAAGCACATGGGTGGTATATGTAAAATAAAACCCAATCATTAGATTTTTTTTCAATAACATACATTCTGAACAAATAAAACATTTTCACATTATAACAGATCTTATGAATCACAGAGCTTGTAAGGAAGTAATGAAAAACTAAGCCACTTAAAGTTTTAGTAGGACCAAGAATCTTTTAAAAATAAAATATGTATTTTGTTTGTTTAACTTAAACAGTGACTATCTCCTCAAAAAGCTGCATCCTTGTGATATGTCTTTAATTTTATCCTCAAATGAATTGATTCCACATTAAACTACAAAACTACTGTAATCCTATAATTTTCACATTATGTCTTTTTGTAAGCGCACACCTGATATTCTTTGGCCTCAGGTTCTGGGATTAATTCTTTCCCTGGGTGAGAAGTTAATGAGACCCTGGACACGGCACTCCACCTTCAGAGGGTGGGCTCTGAGCCTGGACCTCGCTCTTGCAATGACTTGCTCCTCTCTCCTTGGTGTCTCTCCCCCAAGCGTCATGAGTTTGTCTCCGTGTGCTCTTTGGTTCTCCCAGTTCCCCTGGAACCAGAGCCCACTTTGCTCTCACTAGTCCCATAAGAGACCAGATTCCAGGCCCAACCTCCGGGACTTGCAGCAGGTACCACTGCCACTCCTGGCTCCTGTTGCTAGAATTCCCTGAAGCTGAGTTCCTGTCTACCTACACTCCACCTGCTGGAGGTCTCATCTCTGAGGTTCTAGCTGCTGGTCTCCACTTCCTCCCGTGCCTTTGGAGAGACCTTCCTGAAAGGTCTGTCTAGTATCGTTGTCGTTACAATTAATACTGTTATTATTATTGGCGGCCACCATTACTGACAGACTTTAATCCTTCCAGTAACTTTCAAGATCTTTGAGAGCAGGGGTAGCAGGTTTTGTGTGTGTGGTTTTTTTTTTATACTCTCTTATGCCAGGGTTGATGGCATGTCTGGCCCTGAATAAATAAATGAATATACAGAGAACTGAGCACATACTAGCACTATGGCACATACTCTATATAATTACATCTGGTAACTCTACCAACACTATTTTATAATTGAGGATACTGAGACTCAGTTAAATGAACAGCTAATGAGATAAATTAGCATATCCTAACAGTTAAATAGATGAGCTGGAACCTACAACCACATCTCTCTGATCCTCAAGCCAGCTCACTCTCCAGGACACCCTGATGTCTTGTCCCCAGGACCAGCTTCTGCTCTGACCTATTCTGCTGACCAGCATTGAGCCCTAGTTCTGACGTTCTCACTGATTTGTTCCCTGTCTCTAAGAGAAGACAGTTTAAAATAATATTTTATTGAATATATATGTATATACATATATATAAAATCAATCAATCTATCTATCTATCTGTCTATCTATCTATCTATCTATCTATCTATCTATCTATCTATCTATCTGTCTATCTACCTACCTACCTACCCATCTGTCTATGATCCTTCCACAGGGACCTTTAGAAATAATACACTGGCCAAATATATATTTGCACAGAATTGTATGTTTGAAATAAAATTGAACTGTTAAATGCTTTGTGTTAGCAGCATTAGCAATTCCTATTTTTGATCTAAATTCAGATTATTTTTATGAATTTCCCATAATTCTACCCACAGGAAAATGTGCAGTCATCAAATTTAGATATATTTCACTTTTTTAAGATTATAGGCTTTTTTCTCTAGGGAAATTAATAGTAAATTTATATCATCTGAGCATCAAATGCAATTTTTTTTTTTTTTTTGGTGAGGAAGAGTGTCCCTGAGCTAACATCTGTGTCAATCTTCCTCCGTTTTATATGTGGGATGCTGCCACAGCATGGCCTGATGGGTGATGTGTAGGTTCTTGCCGGGAATCTGAACTTGTGAACCCTGGGCCGCCAAAGCGGCACAAAAACCCAACCACTACATCACTGGGCTGGGCCCTGAGCATCAAATGTAATTTTTAAAGGATCTTTTCATCTGAAAGGGTTTTACTAGCCAATTGTTCTCATCCAAATGAACAACTGATACAATTAGTGGCTGTGTTTCTATCCAAAAGAACCCTAAAAAACCATTATAAGCTTATGAAAAATAGTCTGCAGTACAAAACAGTTGTGATTCTGAGGATGAATAGTTTATTGTTCTCTAACGGAAGCATCAGATAATCTGGAGCCATTTAAAATTCATCTTTTTCCAGTCCTTTCTATTCAAAACATATGAGCTTAGACCAAGCCTACTTTTTGGATAATATTTTCAACTTTTACTAAAATTTAATTTTAATAACCTCATTTTTTAAGGCATAACCTAGTCTTTCAAATTCACAGCCTAGAGAAAATGAGTGAAAATAGATAGAAGATAATATATGTGAAAACACGGTTGGAAATGCATACATAGCTATACTTCACACATCTGACGGCAAATTAATTTAAACAGTGTTGAGAAGGGAACGTACTACATGATAATTAAAGGAAGAAGGTTTTAATAAATGTTTTGTTTTAATTTAGAAATGTTACTAGTTCTCTTTCACAACCAACGTCAGAACTCACGTCCACAGGCTTGCCATCTGAAGCGCGGGCAGCGATAACAGTCCTTCCGAGAAAGTCCACAGCCTCCTTTTCATCGGTGTGCCGGCTGGCAATTAAGGTGCAATCCACATAAAGCCAAATGTCCCGGGACTGTATACCAATGCCAAGTCTATGCCACTGACGGTCAAACAACTGACGGAGTTCTCGATTTCTAAAAACGTAGTTCAGCACAACTCCCTCGGCAGCTCGGAACATGAATTCCACCACCTTCTTTCCACCATCAACTACTACAGAAACCTGCAAAGATGCAAATTCTCTTTAAATGTTTAAAATCATGTCCAAAATTATTAAAGCACACAAATTAAAACTCAAGATGCATGTTAGTATAACTGAGGCATTTAGTAAAATGTTCTAGAGACACTAGCGCCCACCAGGTACAAGAACAGCAAACATCCAGCTACAACAATAGCTTCAATATGGGGTATACTGGTGAATATAAATGCTCCTTTCTTGAGAGAACATCTAAGAGTATATATGTGTGTGTGTGTGTGTGTGTGTGTGTTTCTAAGTATACACACAATTCTGTATGAGTAATTCAAGAATTCAACGTTAACTAATTTAAAAATAAGAACGTGATCACTTCTCTTAGCATGGAAACTGAGAGCAACGTCTTTAACCTTTGATGACTTGCAGGGTGCAGAGAAAATGCATTTCACAGAGGACATACTCTTTCAGTTCAGTTCATCTTCCCATCAAAAAATTGTGACTCTATTAACAGATTAAAAGACCAGTGAAGATGAAAAATGTTTCAATGGATGCGTATAGAAATAAACACAAATGCAAGGTGCTGATAAGTAATACAGAGGTTTGTGTACCTGCACCCCATCCTTTCTGCCCAAGTACCATCTCTTCCACAAGTTTCCTGGATTCCTGCTTTCCCTGTACCCCATTTTGGGGAGCTGTCCTTTCTGCGCTCCCACGGTCCCCACCCAGCTCCGAGCTTCCCTCTCCACTGCACCCTCCCACTGTGATGATGTTCTAGTATGTTGTTCTCCTGGATGACATCCCCTTAGGCCTTATGCTCCCTGAGAGTAGGAACCATGCTTTTGAAATCTCTTGTCTTTGTCACTAACTAGCATATAGCGTGTGTTCAATAAATTTTTGTTGATGGAATCAATATTTATATCTCACTTCTTAATTCACTAAGGATTTTCAGATGAAACAATGAACAGTTTTAAAAATAATATATAATATAAAAAATGACAGGAGATAAGTTATTAGTGAGGTGGATGTAGAGTCAATTATGCAGCTGTGAAGGAAGGGCAGTTTGAGTGTCCGTAGACAAAATATGAATCTAGAAGTGAAAAAAAAAAAACCAATCTTGTCTCATCCACCAGGCTCTCCTATTACAGGTCTCAGCAAGACCATCCTAACTAGGAGAACACTTGCATTTCCCTGTTGACGATTCCTCTACAAGATAGAACATTCAGATACTACTAGATCTGCTCCCAAATTTGTGCACAGTTCCCAGATTCACCTGGCCGAACCACACAAGAGAAAATGAGTGAGCACATCTCCATGGTTCCTCACCTGTGGCATATTCTGCTGGTTTAGAACCTGCCACAGAAACCACCGTTCCTTTTTGGTGCTTCTTCGTACACGAAACGTGGTTGCTATGGCGTACTCCTCAGGAAGGCCTTTGGGAAAGATCTTACTGTGGGAGGAAAACAGAGAACTTCCGTGGGAAAACTGAAGATGGCAAGGGAAGAAAACCTAGGTATGAGGTTCTACGTAACACAATATCTCAGTCATAGTTTTCTCAATGAATTGATCATTCATCATGCATTTTTACAGTAATTTCCCTAATGGATATATGGCAGCAGCTATGCCTACATTACCTATGAAATTCTTATCCTTACTCTTTCTCCTTTCAAAATTTTCTGGTAAAGCTTGGGGTGTGTTAAAGCAAGCGAGTAGGCTATAGCCTATGTTGTGATATTCCCTTACTCAACAGGATGTTCCAGCAGAGAGAGTCTCAGAATTCACTGTGCTCTGGCAAACAGTAGAGACTTATAAAGGAAATAAACAGAACCCCTCGGCTTTGTCAGTAGAGGAGGACAGAGCATTTCAAAGAACACTGCTAAGAACTAAATGTATATTGTCCAAAGAAGAAGTTTTTTCATATTAAACTCTTGCAAATGAGCTCCTAATACTGATTTCATGGTATCAATTTAAAACCGATACTAAATATAACAAAGAGGTTTTAGCCTATTTTTCATTCCTACTGAAGATAAAATGAGGAAATTCTTTCTAGGTAGCAGAAAGAAGCCAAAAGACCTCCCAACTATCCTTCTGCCTCAATCTTGTTTCAAAATACTGTCTTCCTGGACCCATGAAGAAATTCAGGGAAAAAAGTTCACAGTGAACATGTCTCGTATTTAGACTTGCAGTGGAAAACAAGGAGAAATGCATTCCTTCAAGCTGACTTTTAAATTTATCTGTATTGTATGTAAAAACTCTGCAAGCCTGGAATCTTGCTTTTCTTTTAAAAAATCATGAGGAATAGTAGGTAAGAATTCTCTTAAGAACTAACATAGCAAGAAGCTGTGTATACAGACAAGACACCGCACACTGAGACATTAACTACTAACTTCAAATATTACACTAAGGGCTACTGAAACTGACAACCGCTGTCACGGAGAATTCTGAAATGTGAGCTTTACTCTTTTTGTTAGAGACCAAGTCACGTGTGGTACGGAAATCAGGGAAAAATATGAAAAAGCTGTGCTGGCCTAAAGTCCTTATTTACTTACTTGGTTAAACACATGCACACATATTTATGTACATATATGTGTGTATATGTATATGTGTATATATATATATATGTATAGTCTAGCTTTATCTTCTTCTTTGAGAATATATTAAAAAGAGAGGCAACCGACTTTATTGCATCTACATTATCATACCACCTCCTAAGTGAGCAAGTGATTAGCAAATCATTTGTTTCCCACCCCTCAAAATAAAAGAAAGCTTCTAAAATGGAATTTCCTCTGGAAAGCCACCAGTATTAAACTAAATCTTACAATGACCGTTATGGTACTGGTTTAGAAAATGTTGTTCATTAAAAAACAAACCAAATGACCAAACTGTGATGCTTGCCATTTGTCTTTGGGACCACCTATAAAGCCGAAAGGTGGGCACAGGTAGAGGTGACAGGTGACACCAAAACATAGACTTCCACATGGAAATTTTAAACTAGTTAGTGCATCAAACTCCTTTTTAAAGGGAAACCTCAACCCCCACACAGGTCCCGCTCACATGCAATAATTGTGTCTCCACCTTGCTTCCAACTTCCTGCCTCCTTTATCCACTCTCCACCTTGATTCTTTTAGGATCCTGTCTTCATCTCAAGGGTTCTGGAATTTGACAGTGCTATTTCCTGGGAGTTTTACTCCATTCATTGTACTAAGCACATCTTTCAATATGGGCTGTGCATCACTGAGAAAGATTTTTATAAGTTTTTTATTATTTTCCACACGTCATTTTCTCTTATCCCCTCTTCCAGGAACTCCCTTTTTAGACAGTTAACTCCTATATTAACGATCTCATTTTCTTATCCTTTCTCTTATATTTTTCCATCTCCTTATTTATTCTACTTTCTGGGATATTTTCCTGATTTATTTTCCAATCCTTCTATTCAACATCAATTTTTATTTTTTTATTTCCAAGATTCTCTTTGTTCTCTTTTTCAAAATATCCTGCATTCAGGATAAATCTCTGATGTTATCCATGAGGTGGGCTTTTAAATGTTTTTCCCTGCATCCTGGAATGTCTCCATTTCATCCAGGTTAGCTTTTCCTATTTGAAGGTTTGACCTCTCTCTTCCATGTTGGAAGCTATACCCTAATTTCCGGTGATGTTTGTAGTCCGTATATATTTAAGAACGAAGCACTGAAACTTTGATTGCAAACTTCACGCATGCTGGCACAGTGTGTTGACCAACAAGCTTCCCTGTATAGCACGGTCAGCTGGCGGATTGCACTGAGAGTCCCTGAACTGTTAATGTAGGGGATTATTTCTCAAGGAACATTCAGTTTTTCCAAAGAAGAATCCTTCTATTTCCCACTTGGTAAAGAGTATTCACCTGGCTGCAGGCATTCTAGAGCAGGGTGGGTGTCTGGGGGTCCCACGTAGGGGTCCACGTTCAGTCTGGAATTTTACTTTATCCCTCTGTTTTCGATGCCAGGCCTCCATCCCGCCCTCGTTCTTCTGCTTACCCCTGGTCTGCAGGCTCTCTGGCCCAGTTTCGCTCGATAATAAACCTCTCATCTCTTCTCTGGTTGGATGAAGACAGAGGAGGTAATCGGGGGCCTAATTTTCTCTACACACACACACACACACAGCCCACCAGCTTCTGCAGAGGCTGGTTCCCCCTGGTGAGGAGTCTCTCAGGTGTCTGGCGAGGTAAATGGCCCACACCTCACAGTATGCCCCGCCCTGCAACAAGTAGGTTCTAACTTCTTCCCATACGTTGAGTGGGTGATCAGTCTTCCCACTGCTTTCTGTCACTAGGAATGCGCAGTAATCTTTCTTTCCCTGTTGCTTCATCTCCCGGTCTACAGTCATTTTTGCATTTTAGAGGGGTAAAACTCCTTTTAAATCTTCAATCTCTCCCTCTCCAATGCCCCTTTTATCTTGGTTTACAAATATATGCATGTCTTCCCACCTGCTATGAAACAAATAGACAAAACTTCCTCTAACCTTTTTACACCATTACATTACCCTCCTATCTACCCATCAAACTTCTTAAATGAATACTGTGAACAACTACATTGTCACTATCCACTCAGCCCTTAACTCTCCTGCATTCTAAAAGCATTCCCAATCAGCTGATCCCCTGGCCTCTTCTCAATCCTCATTCCCCTCAACCCTTCTGAAGACATCCTTTCTTCATTGATATAAACCAAGAGTCACAACTACATGGCTATAGGGGCAGGAATATATCCAGGGACACTGGAATGTAAGCTTCCTGAGGTTCTTTGTCTATCCCATTCACCATCTTGTTCTCAGCAACTAGAACAGTGCCTGCACAAGATAGGTACTCAATAAATATTCCTAAATGAAACAATTGATGAAGAATTGAATTTGGATATAAGCAATAAAAAACAAACAAACAAACAAAAAAACACAAAAAACCACCACCAACACAGGCGCCCTCAATATAGCTTTGTTTTTTCCATCTTGGATAGAAATGTGCATACAAGAAATTTTCACTCTCCTCTTAAGACTTCTATAGGAAAAACAAATAGAGCAAGCAAGTTAATAACAGCAGCTAACACTCATCTCATGTAGAGGACACATGCGTGGATTGAGGGAAACTGAGAGCCCAGCCCATCCACAAGGGCAGCTGCTATTTAGCTCCAGCCAACTGTTACCATGTGGGAACGTGGGTCCAGTGTTGCCAGATCATCCCATTTTTCAAGAGAAGCCAAATACTCAGATTTTTTTAATCTGAAAGTTTAGAGTTTTAATTTTGGCAATTAATTCAGATTTTTCATAAACACTATCCAGACCAACACTGTGCACACCAAATAAAAACAGCAGTTGCTAGTTGGCAACCTTGGATCTACACAAATGTTTGCTGAATACCCATCATGTGTAAGGCATTCTGAGGCTTACAAAGATGGGGAAAAAAAATGGTTCCTGCTCAAATTGTTTCTCAAAATCGGTTGGGAGAAGGAAAATATCCACAGAAAATATAAGGAAGTGATATAAATTGGAAGAGAGAGGGAAATATATAGTGCATGGCCAAAATTAGAACTCGAGGTTGTGAATAGAAAACCTAGTGTTAGAAATGGGACTGCTTTAAAATCTTATAACAGCAGGATGGTTTCAGTCCTTTTAAACTTACTGAGACTTGCTTTATGGTCTAACATATGGCCTATCCTGGAGAATATTCCATGTACACTTGAGAAGAATGTGTATTCTGCTGTTGTTGGGTGGAATGTTCCATAGCCTGTTACGTCTGATTGGCTTATAGATGTGTTCAAGTCTTCTATTTCCTTATTGACCTTCTGTCTAATGTTCTATCAGTTTTGAAAATAGGGTATTGAAGTCTCCAATAATAACTGTTGAACTGTCTATTTCTCCCTTCAGTTGTGTCAGTTTTTCCTTCATGAATTTGGGGGCTTTATTGTTGGGTACATATGTGTTTATAATTTATTGTCTTGGTGGATTAACACTCTTATTATCAAAATGCACTTCCGTGTCTTCTCTAACAGCTTTTCCTTAAAGTATATTTTGTCTGATATTAGTGCTATGGGCTGAATTGTGTCTCCCTAAAATTCATATGTTGAAGTCCTAACCCCCAATGTGATGGTATTTGGAGATGGGGCCTTTGGGAAGTAATTAGGTTTACATGAGGTCATGAGGGTGGGGTCCTCATGATGGGATTAGTGCCCTTATAAGAATAGACCAGAGAGCTCCCTCTCTCCCTTTTTCTCTCGCCCTCCCTCCCTCCCTCTCGCTCTCTCTCTTTGCCATGTGAGGACACAGAAAGAAGGCAGATATCTATAAGCCACTAGAAGGGCCCCTTACCAGAACCAGGCCATGCTGGCACCCCGATCTTGGACTTCTATCCTCCAGAACTGTGAGAAATAAATTTCTGTGGTTGAAGCTTCAGTATATGTATCTTGTCATGGCAGCCCAAGCTGA